GGAGGGGGTGGGAAGGAGGGAAAGTGGGAGAAAAATGAGGGAGGGGGTAACAAGTTTGACAAGAAATGAACTCACTGCCTTACCTATTTAATTGTAACCCCTCTGTACATCACCTTGACAATAAAATTAAATTTTAAAATACTAGGTAAAAAAATGTGATCTTAAAACTTATAAACGTCAGTTGATAAAATGAAACTGAAGGCGGTCCCTGTAACTCAAGTTACTGACCCAGAAGATCAACTGACAGAAGTCTCTAAAACAGTTTAAGTTAGAATCCAAGAAAGAAAAGACAGGAGATGTGGCTACTACATTCACAAGTAGAAACTGAAACAAATGAAAGAGTAATCATAATTACACAAATTGAAGAAGAAAATATCTCAGATAATAGAGAGACTTGAACCCAGGTTCAAGTTGATTTGAAACAAACCACTGAGACCTCATAAAATTTTACAACTGCAGGTTCAAAGTATTTTTAGAAGAAAATTATGTCTATTTTCTTTATTAAAAAATTTCCAGGTGCCAGTGGCTCAGAGCTATAATATTAGCTACACAGAAGGCTGAGTTCAAGCCTCAGGACTGGCACAAAATGAATAAAATAATATGAGTACAAGGTTGAAAAATTCAGTGTTCACAAAATTATGAAAAGAGTAGGAAAAGCCTCCCTAAGCCTCCCTCCTCTATACTTCCCCTTAGGATTTCTTAGAAAAGACCATCAATCACCACCACCACTCTCATGAAGTTGAAATATATACCAGTGCACACACAAACATATTGTTTATACTAATAAAAATTCTGTGGTGTGTCAGCATTACCATAGTTCTTTCACATCAAGGCATGTCTAATTCTTTCACTATTTCAAACATTCCATAATATGTGCACAATATGATTTTTAGCCAATTCCTTATTAATGAACACTTTGATCTTATCAATGTTCTTCCTTATAAACAATGCTACCAGTAGCAACCATGCAAAGAAATCCTGTAGGTCTTTTATAAGCATATCTACATGGAATTCTAAGTAGAAAAAAAAATTGCCAAGTTAAAAAACATTTGTGTTTTTGTTGATTAAAAGCTTTCCAAAGTTCCTAGTGGGAACTTTTAGTTCCAGAGTAGCCACTTCATGAAATTGAATAGCCAATGCAATCAGAAAGATTGCATTGATTTATCATATAGATACAAAGCAAAAAGCTGGGGGGTTGGGAAGGTGGCTCAGTGGTAGAGTGCTTACCTTGTATGCATGAGGCCCTGGGTTCCATTCCTCAGTGCCACATAAGAAGAAAAAGCTGGAAGTGGTGATGTGGCTCAAGTGGTAGAACGCTAGCCTTCAGCTGAAGAGCTCAAGGCACCCAGGTCCAGACTTCAGGCCCCATGACCGACCAAAAAAAAAAAAAAGCTGTGTGCTGGTGGCTCACGCCTCTAATCTTAGCTACTCAAGAGCTTGGGATCTGAGGATCGGGGTTCAAAGCCAGCCCGGGCAAGAAAGTCCATGATACTAATTTCTAAGTAAGCACCAGAAAACCAGAAGTGCACTGTGGCTCAAAATGGCAGAGCACTAGCCTTTAGTAAATGCCCAGGCTCTGAGTTCAAGCCCCATGACCAACAAATAAAAAATAATTTTTGTCTTAAATGTACTACTTTTATTTTCTGGCTGGTTTTCTTTGCCTTTTTTTCTTTTCTTTTCTTTTTTGTATATTTTTCTCTCTTTCAGTAGTCGTACAAAGGAGTTGCCATTCAACAAAGCAGCTTCTGAACACAGTGCACCCTGATCAATGTCACCCCTTTCCACTTTCTCACCCACCCTTCTCAGCCCATCCGTTCTCTCACTTTCCTTAATTCTTTAGAATGTGCATTGGATTTTTTTCCATTTAACAAGGCAGTTTGTGCATAAATGCATTGAGCTGTCACCACTTCAACCCTTGCACCCCTCGGAACTATCCTTCCCTAATTTTTCTTAATTTTGTGGTCTATGCAATGAATTCTTGCCTACACTCTCCCCCATCCTCCCTTCATTCATCTACCCCTCTCCCCTTGGCCCCACTCCAACATTTTTAGATATACCCATTTCCTGGTACTTATTTCGGTACTTGTTGGGCTTTGACTTAGTCTTTCTAAAGAATTATATATTATTTGAGCTCTCTATAGAGTCCGTAATACTTCAGTCAATTCATGTGTAATTGCTTGCATACTCCCCAGTGTGTTTACTTATAGATTTATAGGCACGTTCTAGCTACCTGTGTTTCTCTGGGTCTGGCTTACTTCATTTAATACAAATGTTAAACATCTCTATCATACTGATTAAAGTTGTTTAAAAATCACTGTAGTGTACAAGGTGCTGGTGTCTCATGCCTTTAATCCTAGCTACTGAGGAGGTTGAGGTCTAAGGATTGAGGTTCAAAGCCAGCTTCGGCAGGAAGGTCTGTGAGACTCTCATTTCCAGTTAGCCACCCACAAAAAGCTGGAAGTAGAGCTGTGGCACAAGTGGTAGAGTGCTAGTCTTGAGTGGAAAAAGCTTGGGGATAGCACCCAGGCTCTGAGTTCAAGACCCGGGACTCTGCTCACCTCTTCCCCACCCCTGTGAAAAAAATAATGTAGTAGATTAAGTGGTGACTTTGGAAAAGATATGCCCTAATTTCCTAATTTCCAGAATCTCTGAACATGATCTCAGTTGTTGTTTTTTAAGAGCCTTTACCAACTGATTAATTAATGACCTTGAAGAGATCAGCCTGCTTATTTATGTAGACCCTAAATCCAAAGAGCAATATCTTTATAAGAGCAAAGGAAAACAGATCAAATAGAAGTTAAATGAACTCCATAAACAAAAGGCCTTAGGTTGAGGAAATGTGACAGACTCGTGAGGGAGAAAGTACTATGCAGGTGGAAAGAGAGATTAGCAGGACTTGGCCACAAACCCAGAACTGCTGTGGCCAGCAGAAGCTGGAAGAGGAGGTAGCAACACAGCCTTCCTTTAGCCTCTAGAGGGTGTGCAGCCTACTAACATATGATCTCAGCTTTCTAGATTGCCAAGGAGCCAGACAATACACTTCTGTTGTTTGAGCACGCACTAAATTTGTAGTAACTTGTCATGGCAGCCTCAGGAAACTAATGCAATCATTATTGTTCAATTGGAGAATTTCACTACAGTAGAATACAGCTGCTAGGGATTAGAAGCCAACTAATGGTGCTAGCAACCCAGGTTCCATCCCAGCGCCCTCTCCCGGGGGCCATGCTCTTCACTTCCCTCCCAAACACTCCCCCTCAGTTGTCTTCAAGCCAGAAGTTCTTTCTTGGCATGTTTGAATCTGAAATCCCAAATAACCAAACACGTTGAAACAGACATGTCTGTGTTGAAAGCAAACACCAGCATACCCACGTTTCAGTTTTGGCACAGGCAAATCCAATACAAACTGGTCCAATTTTGACTTTGCAAAGAAAGTTTGTAAGTGCTGTTGCTTTTTCCCTACCCCCACCCTCCACCAAAAAAGAAAACGCCCAGATAGTAGCAGATGGAGACTCACACACACACACACACCTATATCCATCAAATCATAATTGATCCGGAGAGAGTCCTACTAGAAAGAGGAGAGCACTTTCCCAGACAATCTTTGGTCTCTCCCCGGTGGAAATTTATTCTGCCATCTGGAAAAAGGCAAGATGAACCTTTCATAGACATTGGGAATCTAATTGCCAGGCAATTTCGACTTAGATTAGCCTAGAACCAAGGATTCTCTGTACTGCTGCATCACAACAACCCACAGTTCTCTTAGCCACCAATTTTAACCTGATAAAAACAAAACCTAGTTTACCCTGAAAATGAGGCTTGCATATTAGAAAGAACTACCAAGTATAGATTTTCAGTTGTTTTATGTTGTTTTTCACCCGCAAAACCAAGACAGAACTATGACTGTATACATTTACTAGAAGAAGAAACAAACACTGAAATTCAGTGAGAATGCATGACTTGTCCAAAGCCAAGCCAAGCCCACTTGGTAATGGCTCTAAACACCCACTCACTACAGGCAGAGGTAAATACAAAATGAGCCCATTTATCTTAAGTGCTTTTTCTTCTTGGGAGGTCAGGTGTCCTCAGGATACAAAGGAATTGTGTGTGTGAACCAGTGCAAAGGGATATAAAGAGCAAACATTTCCAGTATGGTCTGGTTGAACTTCTGATTGCCTTTGGTATATTTTACTTTGGACAAGATTTATTAAAAATAAAAGTCATCCTGAACTAACTGCTACTACTGGTAGTACATGTCTCTTCTGATCTCAAGGAGGAAAATCATCAGGGAATCCATATGCATCCTAAGGCTTATTTGTCTAAGGGCCTACATCTCCAACGACTTGATTCCTTGATAAGTTACTAAGAATTAAAGATTTCAGGTGTCCATCTTTCCTGGATTTATTGGAAAAGAAAATGAAAAGCAAGATCATTTGTGCTTCTGAAAAATTCTGGAAAATTCTGCATTTTTATGACTACCAGAAATAAAATACCCTTTTCTAAAAGTAATTCCCAGGGGCTGGGAAGGTGGCTCAGTGGTAGAGCGCTTGCCTTGCATGCATGAGGCCCTGGGTTCAATTCCTCAGCACCACATAAGCAAAAAGAAAAAAGCCGGAAGTGGTGCTGTGGCTCAAGTGGTAGAGCGCTAGCCTTGAGCTGAAGAGCTGAGGGACAGTGCCCAGGCCCAGAGTTCAGGCCCCAGGACTGGACCCCCCCCCAAAAAAAAGTAATTCCCATTGGAAAAGATGGAGGAGAATGATCAAAGAGGTGACATGAAGATGCATTGTGCCCATAATCTGACTTGTTGATTTGAAACCCCTTTGTACACCTACTTAAAAAATTTGAAGTACCTAAAATAATTCCCATTTTTGTTTTGTGGTTTGTAGTAGAATAAACAATCTAAATCACAGTCAAGGGATGTAAATTCCTATGTTTAAATTTGTTTATTCACCAAAGAGATATGAAGTCCCCACTCTGTGTCAAACATGTTTTGGGCCTACAGCAGTGAGCAAACACAAAGTTTCTGACTTCTAGAAGTATACATTGAAGTGAGCAAAGGAAGACAAAGAAGGAAAGAATTAGTCTTTAATGTTCAGCAACATATATCAGAGATTCAAAGTTGACAATTCTTGCTGCACTCTTTCAGACACTTGAGCCAGAAGATTGCCAAAAGCTATCAGTACAGACAAAGCAGCTGACCTTAGGTCTCCAATTTAATTTCAGATAGCCAAGCAAAAACTACCTACGACAGTCATACATACAAAAATGCTATCATTTAAAGACACTGGAAAATGCTATGCTTGTGTAGGAATTTTCAAGGATGCTGACTCCTCAAAAGGATAGGTTCTTTGGAGGGAATAGATGCTCGACTCCTTGGATCTGGGGGCTTTCTTCCATTTTCTAGCCCCAGTTCGGCTGTTGTATTCATACACATTCCCAGAGACTATGAGAAAAAAAAACACAAGATATGGAGAAATTGAATTACAATGAATTTGGAAAGTGTTTATTCATCTCACAGTGTTTAGTGTTTATTCCATAGCCTGCCCAGTGACAAGACCAGCATCTCAAAACTTGTTCTAGAGAAGCACTAGAAGTAAAAAGAAGCAGTATATGATTTTATGAGAATTAAAAATAATACCTTCTGGAGAATTATCTTGAAAAGAATAATATTAGATTTTGACTATCAAAGTGATTAGAATTATGTAACAGGAGTTATAGAACTAGATACAGTGACATTTTTAAAGTATATTCAAAAATTGGTAAAAAAAAATCTGAGTAAAACTTATAGTCTAGTCCCATTGTATTACTCCAATATCATTTTCCTGGTTTGGGCAATTTGTGATAGGAAAGATGATACCTTTAGGAAAAGCTTGGAAATAGGTACAGAGACTCTGTGCTATTCTTTTTTTTTTTTTTTTTAGTTTTGGAAGTCTGTAGTTATTTTGAAAGTTCCTTTTTAAAAATAAAAGTCATACTATCTCCCTCTCCCTCAAGAAAACTGCCCCAGAAATAACCATAGAAATAATAAACTAAGAGTAATATCCTAGGAAGATAGGGCCTGATATAGTAGGAAATTAACCAATTGTTGTTTAGGTAACAAGGATGTAATTAACAAATAAAAGGAACAGTTGTGATCATAGTACTTACTATATGCCAGTTCCACTTAACATGGCTAAGGAGTGTTTACAAAGTATTACCTACAGTATAGAAAGGAGTGCTCTGAGGCACCTCCAATGCCACATCATCTGTAAGTAGTCAATCCAGAGAGCAATCTCCAGAGCCCTTAAATACCAATAAACTAAAGTAAGAGGCTATGTCCTACGTCATATAGGGCAAAATACTGCCCTATAAATTACATTGCAAGCTCTGCAGAATTTTTAATACAGGATGTTATGCCCCAGCATATATCATGAACCTTTTTATCTTCAATTTGGAATGTATGTTCCTAGCTGAGTGCTGTGGTGACTCAAAACTGTAATTCTAGATATTCAGGAGAGTGAGATCTGAGGATCTAGGATCTGGATAGGAAAGTCCATTGTGAGACTCTTATCTCCATTTCATCAACAGAAAGCCAGAAGTAGAGCTGTGGTAGAGTAAGCAAAGCAACAGCACCAGACCCTGAGTTTAAGTCCGGGTACAGTGTACGTGAGCATGTGTGTGTGTGTCTGTACACGCACACACACACACACACACACACACACACACATCATTCCTTAAGTATCATGTGAAACCTTACTGAGTTGAACTAACTTCCCAAATCCATTAATTGAAAGGTACTTCTTTTCTACAGCATGGGGCTAGGGTGAACAACATACTACACTGGAAATCCTCTACTCTGCCAATATGCTATGCCATCATTCAGTGGTTTATTTTGAGCCTTGAGAACAAATCACTGACTCATACATCAAATATCCACGTTCAAAATAAGCACTCAATAGTAGCTGTGCCCCTGAATTGAGAATACTAAAAGTGATGATTAGGTCAAACATTAAATCAGCAGAAAGTGGCAGTAATAACAATTCATGGTCTCTCTTGAATATGTGTGCCGTTTTTTTACTAGAAAATCCTAAAGCCCAGTCTTTGGTGAAATACTACTTTTTAGTAGGCGTTGGTTGGCAAGGAGAGTCATGAGTAGTGTTAAGAATGGAAGAGTTCCTTTGTCAGAGAGCCTGGATTCTAATCGTGACTTTTCACTCTTATTGCACTGTGATTCTGGGAAAATTACTTGTCTCTCAGGCTTTTCCATGTATAAAAGGAAAGTAATAATAGTGTCCGCTTCATAAATAACTCTGAGGGACAATCATGTGAAATCATATTAACAATCCTAAGAATTCAATAAATGGGGCTGAGAAGTTGGCTCAGTGGTAGAGTGCTTGCCTTGCATGCCTGAGGCCCTGGGTTCGATTCCTCAGCACCACATAAGCAAAAAGAAAAAAAGCCGGAAGTGGCGCTGTGGCTCAAGTGGTAGAGTGCTAGCCTTGTGCTGAAGAGCTGAGGGACAGCGCCCAGGCCCAGAGTTCAGGCCCCACAACCGGACCCAAAAAAAAAAAAAAAAGAATTCAATAAATGTTTGCTGTAATTTAATACCCTTAAAAATCTTGTAATAAGCTTGTAGCTGTGTATTTTATATGAAGAGAGAGTATTTTGTGTGCAAAGAATAATAATGTTAAGATTAAATCAGCATGTAGTGTATTATTCATAATGACCAAAAGGTGAAGTGACTTTGGTCCCAGTAATGGATGACCCATTAAACAAAATGTGATTATACATATGATGGAATATTATTCAGTGTTAAAATTAGAAAGCAATCTGACACTTGGCTGCAACAGGAGTGAACTTGATGACATTATACCAAATGGAATGAGCCAGTCACAAAAGAGCAAATATTGTATGATTCTATTTATAGGAAATATCTAGTTCAGTCAAATTCATAGAGAGAGAGAGTAGAAAGGTGGGTGCCAGAAGCTGAGTTGGAAGAATGGGCATTATTGTTCAATGGTAATCGAATTTCAAGAAGATGATCAGATCAAAAGGTTCTGGAGATGGTGGCAAGACGAGAGAAAGATACTAAATGCCATAGAAATATAGATTTTGAAATGGTTAATGGAAAAAATGTACTTTTCTATTATGTATTTAATATACTAAAAAAAATAAATATGCTAATAACTATTAAGTGCTGACAACAAGCCTGGCACATGGTCAGTACTAAATATTTATTTATTAAATACATACCCTTTTCTAATTTTAGAGGGAGGCCTGCTATATAAAACATCTCATTATTTCTATAAAGAAACTACACAAAGAGGCCAAGAGATTACATCAGAGGAAGAGAAGCCTAGCTGAGTCCAGCCTACAAGCCTGTCCCCTTCAAGAAAGCAGTCTTCTGAGGTAAGCATTTTGAACCCACCAGATTAGACCAGCTGCCAGATGAATGCCACTGAAGGAACTCTACTGATAGCACATGAAGCAAAACAGGTGTCCAGGTGGCACCTGTTCACCATCTTGACACACAAAAGCATAAGCTATGATAAGATGGCTATCAGTCTAAACTAGTTAAGTCTTAGGGTAGTTTGGTGCACACCAGATATAAATCAGGGGCGACAATGTGTGTGTGTGTGTGTGTGTGTGTATGTGTGTGTGCAAAATCCAGGCGAATTGAACTGCATTTAAAAGTGGGCAGATTTTTCTTCTGTAGGATGTGAACATCCAGCTTCTTTTGAAGCTGCAGAATTTCAGCAACTCAGGGACTTAGTGGTGGTGACATTCCCCAAGGATTAGTGGCTCTTGATGAGTCAATTGGCTCTTTCACACGGTCTCTTGCAGGTGTTCATGTATCCTGCCTAGCCCTGAAATGGTTTCTTTTAGGGAAAGTATCATGAGTAAGTAATTTGTTTAGTTTGGTATTCAAGCACCATACCTGGATCAATGGCTTCTCCATCAAACACAGTCTCATACACAATGGTTTCCTTTGAAAGAACACACAGCATTAGCAATAAAGTCAGCTATAAAATGGGTTTTGACGTGTGCTGAATACTTCAACACACAAGATGACTTTTTATAAGTTCCTCTATGTTTCTGATCTGTAGAGGGCTTGCAGCCTAGAACCAAATACTGCTATTTTTTTCCCCAGGGCTGAGGACTGAACCCAGGGCCTTGCGCGCGCCGGGTGGGCGCCCTTCCACTGGGCTAAACCCCCAGCCCCACTGCCTGCTATTTTTATCACCTCTCAATCCCATTTCCCCACCTCTATCTGCCTGCTATAACCTCTGATAATTCAGGTCCTTTTTTACTGATGTGGTCTATTGTCTTGCATAAGAGACATTATAGGTTGAAATGCAACCCTTCCTCCAAAATCATCAGTTGAAATTGTAACCCCACAGAACCTTAGAATGTCACTATATTTGAAGAGACCTTGAAAGAAATAAGGAAGCCTGGCTTAGGTGGTAGAGTATCAGCTTGTGATAAAGCATCATCAGACTTTGAGCTGAAGTCTTGATCCCCTTCCCCCAAAAGACAAAAGGATTAAGGAAGATCAAATGAGGTCACATGGATGGGCTTTGGTCCAACATGACTAATGAATGTGACATTAGGATACTAGGTACAGACTCCCCTCACAGGCACTGTGAAGACACAACAAGAAGGCAGTTATCTGAAAGCCAACACTTATTCATAAGTTGATCTTGGACACCCAGCATCCAGACCTATGAGGAATAAATCTCTGTTGTTTAGAACACCCCATCTCTAGTATTTTGCTATAATGGCACTATAAAGTTAATACAGATTATGTGGGAATCAGCTTCTTAACGGGAGAAATAAGGAAAAGAAGCACAGGAAAAAAAATAAAACATCTAGGGCTGGGAAGGTGGCTCAGTGGTAGAGCGCTTGCCTTGCATGCCTGAGGCCCTGGGTTCGATTCCTCAGCACCACATAAACAAAAAGAAAAAAGCCGGAAGTGGCGCTATGGCTCAAGTGGTAGAGCGCTAGCCTTGAGCTGAAGAGCTGAGGGACAGCGCCCAGGCCCAGAGTTCAGGCCCCACGACCGGACCCCCCCCCCCCAAAAAAAAAGAAATAAAAGAAATAAAACATCTAATCTATGTCACAGTTAATCAGGATTCAGGTAGTGATATCTTGGTATTTGGAACACAAGTAGAGAGAAAAAAAGAAAGGAAAAAAAGGAGAGATGAAGTCAAAATAATGTCCTTTCTTTTGGATGCTAATAAATCATACATTATTTGTCCCCAGTTCAGCCTTATTCTGTACCCTTATTTATGGGAATTACTCAGGACTAAGCCCCCTCCAGTTTGAAGAGGGTTTGCATACTCTAGTGTATAGATTTATCACCTGCTTTAAAAAAAATCTAAGTAATCATGTCTCTCACATGTATAATTTATTCCCAAATACAGTTTTTTTATTTTTAAATAGTGGAGAATAATGCCAGATTTCTGTTTGTCTAGAGTTTTTTTGTTTTGCTTATATGCATTTATTTTGAAAAAAAATTGATTAGCCAAATTCAAAGTTGAGTTGGAAATCCCAGCTTTGCAACACACATGCATTCAGTAGAAATGATGCATTGCAATTATGTAATTTCCTTTTGGTTGGGCACATTTACCATATGCTTCTATGGAAGATGTTTTTATTGTGCAGCACTTACAGGGGACATGTTGTCTTTTCTTTCACTGTAGATGGTTCACAGAAATCTACTTACTGTTAATACTTCTAGCTTTTTACTTTTGCTTCCTGTAACAGCCTTTTCCGGTTGAGTTCTATCTCCTGTTCAAAATAAATTTTAAAAGGCAGGTGTCTGGTGAGCAGTATTTTCTAAATTCCACAATTCAAGCATAATCATGTGATAAGCAACAATCTGTATCTTACCTGCAATATACTTGATTCCTCTGCACAGAAAGAAAATTTTATAATAATCAGTTTCATTATGTTAACACATGGCTAAAATACTACTACTACTAATACTACTAATAATAAAAATTTCAGCCAATAATGCATGACTAATATCACATCTACCTTACCCCAGGAAAGAAGAAATGCAGTATAGGAATACTAAAATAGCCTTTATCAACCATCATCCTACCCATCTTACTGCACCAGAAATGAATTCTACTTAGTTAATGGAAATACAATTTCAGCTTTACTTTTGAAGCCATAATATTCTGTGCCCTGAAGAACATTTTGGGGTAATAATAAAAGCAGCCATATTTTCCCTCCATTTCTTTGTCCTCTCTCTCCAACTTTGGAGAGATTTAAGACAGGTCAACGTTGTGGAGAGAATGCCTTTATTCATTACCAGTCTATAATTTTTACTGTTGCCTTGCTCTCTAACACTGATCTGTGAAACTGCTTGCCTCACAAATTTGTCTAAAATATCTTCTCATAGAAAATCTGTTACAAGCTTACAGCAGTAAGCACTAATACTAATTAATTATACTAATACTAACACTAACACAAGCACTAATACTAACACTAACACAAGCTTACTGCAGTAAGTACTGTACTGTATTAGTATTTTTCAAAGAAAGAACCCCAAGTATTTCTGGATAAAGTAGGTTGGAGAGTCATTAGTATAAACAAAAATGCCATTGAGTTTTGTATTGTAAATATTTTGTTCATCTAAATCAAACTAATGCAAAAGCCATCAGGGTAAGATTGACAAACATCCATCAATCCAATCTCTTTATCAAGGTTAGAAGGAGAATCTGATAGCACATGCTTGTGATCCTAGCACTCAGGGGGCTGAGCTAAGGTTCAGCTCAGGTTCAGTTAAGCTGATGCCAGTTTGGGCTACATAATGAGACCATGGAATTAAAAAAAAAGGAGGAAAGGAAGAAGGAGGGTGAGGGAAAAAGAGGAAAGAAGGGAAAAAAGAGGGAGGAAAGCAGGGAGGATAGATAGATGGCAGGAGGGAGAAAAGGAGGAGGAAAGAAGGAAGGAAAGTAAGAGGGAAGGTGGAAGAAGGGGATGGAGGAGTAGGGGAGAGAGGGAGAGAGGGAGAGAAAGAGGAAGGGATGGAGGAAGGAAAGAAGGAAGGAAAGAAAAAAGGAGAAGAAAGAAAAAAGATAAAAAGAAAAAAGTTTGAAGAGGTGACACAGATCAGGATGCATCATATTCATAAATTGCTTTATAAAATGGCAAAAAATTAATACATATCCTACAAAATTAAGAAAAGTGAGGGAAGGGTTGAGGTGGGACAGATGGACGAGAAGGTCAAAAGGGGTAATATTAATCAAGATGCACTGTAGTCACAAACTGCTTTGTTGAATGGCAACTCCCTTGTCCAGCTACTTAAAGGTAATAAAAAGTATTTTTCAAAAAGAAAAAAGGAGAAAAAAAAGCCATACCTGGGTTTGGAAACTTGCTTAGCCATTTTCTGACAACAAACTGTAATGTTTCCGTATCTCCAAAGCAGGAAACATACCCAAGAAACAAATCCAACAAAGAAAATGACCATGAGAGTGAAGATGAAAGGAATGTACCAGTCGCTGGCCTTGTACGTATTGATAGCTGTGTATACAATGGTCAGACCTTTCTTTTGCTGGAAAAATGATTTCAAGCAAACAAAACATTAGTCCATGTGTTCAGAGAGCATCTGTTTGCCCACAGTAGCATCAGCACAGAGTCATGGTCTTAATACAGAACAGGGTCTTGACTCAGATATGCATGGTTTTATAAACACCCATTCAGAATTAAGAATGTAGCACTTGAGTTGTGTGCAATGACTTCTCTGTGGTTCTAAACAGACCATTTTTTGACCTCAGGTTTTTTTCATCTATAAACTCCAGAGGTTGAGCTAAGTGGCATCTGAAGCCCTTTGAAGCTTCGGTGTCCTTATTTCCTGTTCTACACACAGTAAACCTCTCTGTGCAGCTTGCAAGAAGTTTGTTCCTGAGAATAAAGTACTATAAGGAAATGTTTACCACCATTTTTGCTGCTGGTGATCGTGGTAGAACTGACGTTTGTACTAAAGGTCTCCTATTTGGTAAATAGGCCTCTACTACTTCAGCCACACATCTACCAGTGGTTGGGGTTTCTTTGGGGGATTTTTTGTTTTTGTTTCTGCTTTAGTTATCCTTTTGGAGAGGATCTTGTGCTTTTTGCCAGGGCTGACCTTAGACTGTGATCCTCCTACCTCTGGCCTTCTACATGACTGAGATGATAGGTATGAACCATAACACACACTCAGCTTGTTTTGGGGTTTTTGTTTTTGTTTCTGTTGGTCATGGGGCTTGAACTCAGGGCCTGGCCACTGTCCCTGAGCTTTTTTGCTGAAGGCTATATACTCTACCATTTTGAGCCACAACACCATTTCTGGCTTTCTGGTGGTTAATTGGAATTAAGGATCTCACAGACTTTCCTGCCTGGGCTGGCTATGAACCACATTCCTCAGATCTCAGCCTGCTGATTAGCTAGTATTACAGGTGTGAGTCACTGGCACCCAGCTACATCTTGGGTTTTGAAGTGGGGTCTCGATAACTTTTTGTCTAGACTAACATCAAACTGTAGTCCCCACCTCAAAAAAAAGCTCAATCTCCATCTCAAAGGTGCTGGGATTATAGATATGAGCCATTATGTCCAGCTTCTACTCATGTTTTTATTAACGCTGCTATTTCAAAGGAAAGAATACAATAAAATAGACCGTGAAGTCTACTGGGCAGATTTCATCCTTGGGAAATTCAAGGAGCCATTCTGGAATTCTGCAGAGGCTTTTCATGTCTTTTCTCAATGATAAAATTATTGTGTCTGCTAATCTTCATAGGATTGGGTTGAAAATTCAATGAAATGATGAATATAAAACACATCATATAGGGCGTGGCACAGGTACTCACTACTAATTTTAGCATGGCCACTAGAGAATACTCTTATTGGTGGTAGTCGTGGTGGTACCAGGGTTTGAGCTCATCGCCTCACCCCTGCTAGGCAAGTGCTCTACTATTTAGCCACATCCTCAGCCCTTCTAAGTTTTACTTCGTTTTCAGATAGGATCTTTGTATGTTGCCTAGGTTATTAGGCCTTGATCTTCCTACTTCTTTACAAGTAGCTAGGATTAAATACACGTGCCACCACATCTAATAAGACGTTTTTAATCAATAGAATTCAAGTAGAGAGCCCTTTCAGTGGGCAGTACTTTAAGATCATCCAGATGATCATCATCTGATCAAAGATCATAATCATCATCGTCATCATCATCATCATCTCTATCTTTCTCTCTTTCTCTGTCACTCACACACACACACACACACACACACACACACACACACACACACACACACACACACACATCTGTACAATGTGGACCGGTAGCTACTAGCTTAGTGCCTAAGCAGAAATACACATCAGTAAAAGGCACTGCTCTAATGAGTATTTTGGCCTTTCTGGATGAAACTTGAATTTATAGAATATTTCCCACTCAGAGAAGCAAATTAATGTCTATAACTCTTCCATTTTTTAATACTATAACTCTTTACTTCAGCGTTGGTTGGAGGAGGTGGTGTGCTGGCTCTTATCACATGAATATCAATAATAGCAGTGCCTGTCCTGGGCTTGGTGGCTTTGCCATATTTCAGATTGTCATCAATAATATGCACCACAAGATGGTACTGCCGTCGCATATCAGCTCCAGATTCAAAGTTAAAAGGATTCTTCACAATTAGTTTGGGAGTATTTGAACCTCGACTGGGGTCAAATCCGAAATGATGGTTCTCATTTCCTTTAAAAAGGCATAATTAAAAAGTTATCACTATTTCATAAGCTTGGAAGGGTTGCTCAAGCTCCCTTAAATTGCTATTAAAACATAGTAGATGTAAGTAAATTTTGTTGTACTCTGAGTTTCTATATGTATACGTGATTTATAATAATAACATTGAGTTTAAATAAGCAATAAATGCAGTTGGTTAGAAAAAGCTTTAAGCTAGAGTCATGAGTCTCATCTTCATGTATGGCCAGCAAACTTCACACTATTATACAATTATTCTGCCTAATTGCTTCCTCTTCTTACTCAGAGCAATTTGGTTCCCATGTTCAATTTAGTCTAGATCAGTAGCAAATGAGCTAGTCAGACTACAAGTATCTATTGAGCCTCTACACAGCTTAAGTCTTCCTCATGGCTCGAGAGACATTGTTATACATATGATACATGCAGTTCCTTTCTTTGTGGAGCTTGTTATCTAGCAAAGGGGAAAAAATATCAGCCTCGTCTTTAAAATGAATTATCAGTGTGTGCTTAACTACTCTCCACACCGTTATTCTTTCTGACAAATGACAACAGAGCACTTAAATAAGTCTTTAAATAATTTACATAAGACTTTAAGTCTCTGACAAGAAATGTACTTCTTCCCTTACTTATGTAACAGTAACCCCTCGGTACATCACTTTGACAATAAAAATTTTTTTAAAAGACTTTAAGTCTAATTTTTATGCCACCTCATGATCCTTGGTAGCTTTTCTTTATAGAACTTACCACAGTTTATCATTTATAATTTGGGTACTCTTAGTTTAGTGAACAAAAAATGTCATGAATACAATTGTTTTTCTTGGCTACTTTCATGTACCAGTTTCTTAGCACAGTGACCATCTTGTCCCTAATAACTGTCCTCCAGGAAAGACAAGATGGTGACTAAAGCTAGTAAGGGCCTGTGTAAATCCAACAATAATAAGATTGGTTCTCGTTAACTTGTATTAATATCATCAGATGGAACAGTGGCCACAATCTTCATCTAGCACCATGGACAGCGGACTTAGCCTTGTAATTTGTAGTATTTCCCGTGCTCAACCCAAGTTTCTCTTTGCCCAAAAAGTATCTGTGAAGTTTACTGATTCTTTAATTGCAGGAGACAAAAGAGCTCATTGGATAGGTAGGAGACAAAACAGTGTCTTTAGGAAACTTAATGCTGCAGATATAAAATAGTCCAACCTTTTTAAACACCGTCACCTATAGGGTTGTGTATTACATCTAACATGGTACAGCTCACATCATTTTGACACATGCTCTGATTAAGAGAAATAATTAAATTACCCACCAGTAGCCATCTCAAAACGCATTTCGAAATCTTGTGAATCTCTGTCGTGACAGCTTAGTCTGAAGCCATTGACGTTTGTCCCCACAACAACACTGTCAAAAATGACTGCCTTATATAGATGTGGCGTGCAGACAGGCGCTTCATCATTCTCATCTTCAATGTCAATGGTGACCTGTCAGCCAGGCAGGGAGAAGAAATATCACATCCACACCATGTGACCGTGTATTTGCAAAATCAGAAATAAGCATCTGGGTAGAGGCATATCTTTTGGAAATATTAAATTAAAAGCCTAGAACTTCCCATTTGCAGAAATACTCCTACAGATTTGGATTCTGGCTGTCAATCAACTAGCCCTAGCTTATTATTCCTGGGTCAACTGTGACAGGCAGGGTAGCCATTAGGGAGAGCTTTAGGCTCATTAGTTGGGTCTCTGTGAAGTCCACCAATTATGCACAGAATAATAAGAGGACAGATGAAGAATAATGTCCCTGAAAACTGTGGTCCCCTGCATACTTTAAATGTCTTGCTAACTGGAAAGTGTATTCTGAGTGTGTTTCTTCTACATTAGTTAAGGGACTCTTTTGTTCTATGACTCTCTCAAGCATAATATTTACTTTTGGTAACAATATGATTGTTCCAATCTATTGCTCTGACCTTAATTGTGGGATGCTATCAAGATTTTCTTAATTAACATACTATAAACTGGGAAAGTGTGATTTACATGGTTAAAAAAAATCAAAATATCAAGGACTTTAAAATGTCAATGATTGAATACCAGTCAGCCTAGAAAGGTTATCTTCTCATCTCTCTGATGACTAATAACTTTCTCAGCAACATGCTCAGAAGAATCCCCAGAGTCCCTACATTTGCAAGTATTATCTGTTTAAATGTTTTCTGTAATGTTTTTAGCCACCCAGCTAAATTCTTGGAGAGTTGTTTTTTTTCTTTAAGGTTACTTCTATAGATTGGTATCCAAACAGTGATTATAGCCTCTATATCAATTTAATATTTGATCATGTGGGATAACTGACAGGGTAAGTAAATGGATTTTAAATAGATTTCTGTGATAGAATACAAAAGGCTAGACTAGGATGTGGACTAGAAATATTCATTAAAATCCTGGGCCTGCCACTTTGGGACTCTATTTGGATACAAGCAACTTAATCTTGTTTTGCTCCACCATAAAAAGGAATCTTAATCTCTTCTCTCTTATGACTGTTGGGAGGATACATTCATCCATTCAATGAATATTAATTGAACACTTACTTCATTCATGCACTGGCCTAAACACAAAAGCCACAGTGTCAAAACAAAGTCCTTCAGCTGCAACAATTAACATTCAACTTAGATGAGGCAAAGCAACCAACATATTGACAAGTAAATACAGTAAGCATTGTCTTAAAGTAATTGGTGCCATGTAATTAAGGAGATAGAAAATAGCTAAGGGAAACCATCTTAGGAGAAGGCCATTTTTTTCTCTGACCCACTCTTCCTGTCTTTAAATCATCTTTAAGTAGTTGTACATAGAGTTTCCACTCAACAAAGCAGTTTATTAATACAGTGCACTTTCAGCAAAGTCACCCCTTCCACCCACTCTTGCTTTGGCTTTCTGACTCCTCTATGTTTGATACACATCCTTGTAAGTTCTGTGTTCTCACTGAAGATGCAGAGCTTGATAGTATCATTTTGATTTGCATAAACAATGTTGTGCAGTGATCTTTCTTCCTTCCTCCTTTTCTCACACAATACTCCATATGCTCCTTCTATGTTGCCCTTCACAGAACTAGTTTGCTATTTCCTCTTGAGGCTTGTTATTCCCCAGTAGACACTGGTCATATTTCACTTACTCATTCCTTTCAGGATGAACACACAGATTGATTCAAATTTCCACTGTTGCCCGTCATGTCCCAAGAAGCACACACCCTTGTTAAAGATTTCATTTGGGCAGAGATAGGATGAAAGTGATGCAAGCCATATAGGCTGAAAAGTTCAATCCTAGTGTGTTTTGTGGCTGGATTGGAGAATATAAGAAAAAGAGAGCTAGGTAGGAGCTGAGGACGAAAAGGTAGACAGGGTAGCCAGATTTAAATCTAAGGTTCTGTGGATCTTGGAAATTATATTGGAACCTAACTAACCTCACTAAGTGTGATGGAAGCCAGTGTTTCCAAGGGAGAAATCAAACATCTTCAGAAGGTACCACTGCACTTATTGTGTAAAGAACAGTGTGCAAAGTATACAAGAGGAGACAGGAACTCTACACAAAAGGATTTCAGTCTAGATCGGATAAGGGAGATGGTGGCAGAGCCAGGGTTATTGTAGATATGGGTGAGAAGTGAAAAGGATCCAGGCTGTGTTTTGAAAGTAGACCCAGGAATAGTGGTGTATACCTAAAATCCCTGCTGCTGGGATCATGAATTTGGGGCCAACCCAGACAAAGTTGTCAACGAGACTCTAACTCAAATTCAAACTTAAAAAAATAAAACAGTGCTGGAGGCTTAGGTGGTGTGGTAGAGCATTTACTTGCCTAGGAAGGCTCTGGGCACAATCTGTGTTACCCCTCTTCACATAAAATCAGTGGAGATGAGAAAATCCACTACAGAATTAGAGAGAGAATGTAAAGTACATGACAATGACTAAGTGCCAAACTAATCTGACCTCTTTGTGCCGAGAACCTTGGGTAGGTTACTTAACTTCTAACCTTGGAATAAAATTCTTCCCCAGGAGCTGGGTATCGGTAGCTCACACTTGTAGTCTTAGCTGCTGAAGAGGCTGAGGTCTGAGCATCACTGCTTGAAGCTAGTGCCAGCTCAGGCAGGAAAGTCCATGGGACTCTTATCTCCATTAACCACCAAAAAATCCAGAAGTGGAGTTGTGGTGCAAGTGGTAGAGCACCAGCCTTGAACAAGAAAGCCAAGAGACAGTGCCCAGGCCCTGAGGTCAAGCCCCAGTACCTGCATACACACACACACACACACACACACACACATCCAAAAGTACCCCATAGAAAGAAGTTAAGGGACTAAAATCTAATTAAGAGATTATTATACTCTTCATTAAGTAATGATATTGGCAATTGCTGATGGATTCCTAAATTTTAGAAATAAAAGATCTGTATCTTCCTTTTCTAAATTTGAAAGATAAATTCATCTGTATCATCAATTTGCTTCTTGCTGTACACTTTTTAACTTCTTATGTGCCCCATTTGTATTTCTGAAGACATATGGGGTGTCTTATACTTGATTGTAATGTTCTACACCCAGAAAATGCCAAATAAATATTATTAAAAGGAAGAAAGAATACACCAATTCTTGTTTTGCCTTTAGGCAAAACATAAATTATTTTTATAAAGGACAGAGTCACTTGAAGTTTAGTGCTTTTTTTTCAATCTACTTTCCCTTTTCATTTGTAGCAATAGAATGATAAATGCAAGTAGTGTCATCTTATGCTACTGTGAAATCCATAAGCGTCAAGAGGAAAAACTGCCTGGGCACCTCAGTATAGAGATCATTCTCATGGGTATCATTCCAGTGCAACTTCATCACTACAACTCAGTCTCTGTGAAAGTCATTCTAAGTGTTGATGTGAATGAGTCTGATGGTTCCCTCACAGGGACACACACAGAAAACCTAATAACTACACAAGCAAGAAACCAGGAGCTCTGTTTGGGTAAATAAACTGTGAGTATCAGGCCAGATGGAGACTTCAGAATTCTTCACTTCTACTTCTTTCTTTTCTGCAATAACAAAACTTTCTAGTCAGTACTGACACTCACCACCTAATAAATGCAACAGCGTTCTCTCTTGATGTCTTCCAACAGTCCCTTGACATGCTAAAATACTTTAAAGGCCCACATTTCCATGCCAAAAAATTCACCTTGACTATTTTTATTGTAAACATCATCTCTCAATGGGGTGCAGCCTAGATTTAAGAGTACATCTATAACACTGTTATATATTACAGACTGTGGTAGACAATTTGCTCCAGGGAAGTTAGAATGAACTTGTGACTTTGAAATTATGTAATCATTTAATCACAATCAAAAAAAAAAAAAAAAAAAAGAACCTCAGGGAAGGGAGGGAGGGAGGGGATGGTAGGGGGAAAACAACGGAGGGGGTAACAATGTTCAAGAGGAAGTGTACTCATAACCTCACTCATGTAACTGTAACCCTCTGTATAGTAGCATTACAATAAAAAAAAAAAAAGAGTACATCTATAAAACTTAGGAGTAACTTCTAGTACATGTCTTAAAACCTGCCATACTGCCTGCTCCGAACATTTAAGTGAGAATCAACTAAATCTACGCTGTTGTTTAATCTTAATAAGTGTTCCTTTCCAAATAGTTTTATAGGTTCTCAAAAAGATCACCTGAGGGGCTGGGAAGGTGGCTTAGTGGTAGAGTGCTTGCCTTGCATGCCTGAGGCCCTGGGTTCGATTCCTCAGCACCACATAAGTAAAAAGAAAAAAGCCGGAAGTGATGCTGTGGCTCAAGTGGTAGAGCACTAGCCTTGAGCTGAAGAGCTGAGGGACAGCGCCCAGGCCCAGAGTTCAGGCCCCACTACCGCCCTCCCCCAAAAAAAGATCACCTGAATCCTTTTGGAGAATTAAATGTATTTGATATGTATGAAGAATCATAAATGTATCATACTATAAGTTTATCTTGTATATTTTTACTATAGAATGTTTATTATACACAACACATATGTACACATACACATAAAGGAACTGACAAATGGTATTCCTTGCTACTGTTTCTAATGTATTTATAAGATACCATGTGATTTTTTTTTTGTTGCTTTGTATGTCCCTCTCCCACAGTATAACCCCTGTTTTCACTGTATTTGATGCTGCTATCATTTGGGGAGGGGAAGGGATAAAACAAATTGTTTAAATACGGATACAGTTTGACCCATTGCAACAATGAGATGTATAAGACGCTATGTCAAAAAACGAACTTTACAATTTAGGAGGGGGGGAAGGGTTGAGGGGATATAGTTGTGGAGGTGGGAGGGAAGGGATGGTAGGGGGAAAACAAAGGAGGGGGTAACAATGCTTGATAGGAAATGTACTCATTACCTTGCTCATGTAACTGTAACCCCTCTGTACAGTATTTTCACAGTAAAAAACTTAATTTAAAAAAAGAAATTCTAAATTTATCACATCAGAATGAGAAGAGGTGGTGAGGCCTTATTTTCAACTGTGCCTCAAACTCGCAAAGTCGAAGATCCAGATGTGACAACATACTGAGAATAGGAGAAAGTTCTAAACTTGGTCATCTATTGTTATTGTTCAACCACTCCCACTACAGCCAATGAAAATGTAATAGATCAGCTCTGTAGGATCAACATCTGGGTCTCTCCACTTACTGTGGTCACGGCTGTGCGAGGCTGAAGCCTGTCACAGTCCACAGCTTCCACGGTGAGGTTATATTGCTTCACCGACTCATAGTCTGGCTGTGTGGTCAGTTCAATCATTCCAGAGAGAGGGTGAATCCAGAACCTTTGTACTACCTGGGTGTCTCCATGGGTTATCTTGTAGGTCACACAGTTTCGAGGGTAGTCCTCATCGATGGCAGTCACTCGTCCAACTTTGTGGAAAGCTGCCAATAACATTTTACAAGGTTCACTCTTCTCATGCAGATGTGGTACTGTAGAAAGCCTCACATGCCTTTGCTTTCCAAATAGTACCATAGTTTATCAAAGGGGTAACCCAAATCCTTTTGGACAATGACATGTTTAAAGACTCAAATTCTCCATGATGGAAGACAGATTTAGAAAGAGTCCTTGGCTATCTTAAACCACTTGGCATGAATCAAATGAATTAAGTTTACAATCATGCCCTAATAATTGTGATTAGATTAATCTTAAGATTAGTGTAAGATAATGGTTCACAACATAGACTGGAACTAGAATACATGGGTGCAAATTTCACCCATTACTTACTAGTATAGCATTGGATAATGTTATCATCTCTATGGATTTCAGATTGTTTCTTCAACAGCAAACTAGGAACAAAATTCATCTGCAACCCATATCTACCACATAGAGTTGTAAGGAATGAATGAATGAGTTAAACTATACAAAACACTTACTTAGGGCAGTACCTGGTATACAGAAAATGCTAAGTAAGAATTGACCCTATCTATACACATTCTTTCATGAATTATCCCAGCATCCTAACCACATAGGAACCATGACTGTCTTCACTTAAACATAAAGAAACCAAGCCAGGTGATGCTAAGTAACCTGGTCCAAATCATAGAGCTTGTAGTGGAGTAGGTAGAGCTTGTAACAGTAAGAGTCAAACCCATGTTGGCTTATTCTTCAATATAGCATTTTTTAAATCTGGTCTATAGCAACCCCAGAGATTCTTTTAGAAGAAGGATGTGGTATACAGGTGTCATTCGTAGGCCAACACTCTTTACCCTTCCTTTGCCTATACTGTTTCTCATGTGACTGACCCGTGCCAGTTAGGGCTGTAGCATATGATGTGTTTCAGCCAATGGAATGTTTGCAAACCTGATGGAAGCCAAGGCCTAAGAGGTCCTTGTGTGATTAGGTATGCTGCACTCTGGCCATAAAGTCCTATCTCCATGACCTTAATTCAGTCCCCATTTAACAGCCCTTCTATTGTTGATTGTACCTCTCCTTCACTTGTGAACAGCTGAAGCTAGAGTGTTGGAGGATGCAGAGAAGCCAAGTTACCCAAATCAATCTACCCAAAGTCTGGATAGACTCATTGATAAACAGCCAGTTCTCACAATGTTGAGCAAGCTCAACCAAAATCAGAATATCGTCCTGGCTTATTCTTAGACTGATTAAAAATGCCATTGTTGTGCTACTCTGATGTTTTTAGGCGTTAATTATATGCATACTTATAACAATAGTTCACAAATATGACAGGTTTATCCTCCAATTACATTCTACTTTAATTATAAACTCTGGGGCAGGCCCTTTAGCTTCTCTGTGCAGTGGAATCCCACCATACAATGGTAGCAATGGTAACTAGCTCACCAACATTTTCTTTAGGATATTTTGGCTCTGAATTATCAGGAATAAAGAATTAAAGTTAAAGAAAACAATGCATATGCTATCCCCAGTACCTCCAACCTCACAGACTTCTTATTCTGTTGGCATCCTTCTTTTACTAAGATTTACCAGCTTCCAATAAGGTGTTATAAATTAGGCAATCAACACAACTCATGATACCAAGAACAAAGTTAAGGCATTCATGAAGGCATGCTTTATTATGGTAACTTCAAAAGAAGGAGTCCAAACTATTTGCTCAAGTGAAAGCATACTTATTAAGAAGAAGGTACCATAACATATGCAGACAGTATAAGGCAACAATGGAGTTATTTTCATATTTAACACCTGGCTAAGTACAATAAGGAGCTTATTCCTCAGTAGGTATAAAATTAACCTCTCAATGCAAACTAAAAGCTATTTTGAGCAATTTTAGCTGAGTTTTAAAATAGGGTAATTATGAAACTCTGAAATCCTGCCAAAATTCCTCATAAAATCTATTGGAAACACAGTAGGTTTTCCCTTGTGACTTGCAACCCAGTGTGATTTAAATGCTATGTTTCTTGGAAATCATTAAGGAATTTTTTTTCTTTGCCTATGCTTGCCCACCCCCAGAATCCTTTTATCTGATTCATCACATACCACCAAAAAAGTTATTTTAAATAGTATAGATTTGCATAATGCTGTCACCGGAAGAGATTCATGGAATTCTCAAGACATATTCATGTCCTCTGTGCTAGTCAACCTGGCATGAAAAGAGACTTCTATATTAATGGGCCAATAGCTAAAATGTTTGATATTCAGAAGGCAGTTCATGTTCAGAAGAGTTTTAAATTTCCAATTTCCTAGTTAGATAAAATTTTACTTTGTCATGAAGATTTTGTCTCCTTGATAAACATTTTGTCAAAAAAGAAAAGTCCCTCCATCTTCATTTAGTTTATAAACTCTGGAGTAGAAGATCAATGAATATTGTTTTGTTTTGAAGTGAAGAAAAAGGGCAGAATGGAAAGTGATAAAAGGGGGTGAGATTGGGATAAATTATAAACATGTGTGGAAATATAACAATGAATTCCTTCCCTATATAACAACTACAAGCTAATAATAAAAATAAAGCCAGGGGAAAAATTAGACCACATTGTTATTGCACATTGTAGATATTCAATAAACTTTAGTGATGATGATGATGATGATGATGATGATGATGATGGTGGTGGTGGTGGTGGTCAGGGGCATCATGGTAATTTTCACATCATGTAGCTTACATGCATACAATTACCAATTAATCCTGAGCTCATCCCCATGAGAGAGTTATAGTCATCTTCATTTTATAAATGAGAAATCAAAGGTACAAAGCAATGTATAAGATCATTGAACTAGTTCCAGCAGAGACAAATTTGAATCTAGTTCTATTTGACTCCACCACTCACGATCATTTTGCTACATCACAGTGCTCTTCAAAGTCAGAATGATCCAACTGCTGCACACAACCAGTTTTATCTCTGGAAGTATTCAAGTCAAGAGTGGAGGACTCATCATCCAGAGATGCTGAGAAAGAGATATCTTCTTCTCTTGGATGACAGAAAGCACAAATATTGCCTCTGCGGTCCCTTTCACATCAAGTATTCCCTGGTATACTAGCAAACTCATCCTAATTTACATAGAATTTATGACTGAAATAGAGTCATGACATGATCTTGATTTTGAACCTAAAATCTGGACCCCAGTTATTTAAATTCACTAATGACCACATTACCTCTACATTTTTTTTTAACACTTAGACCTAGTTTGATAGAAAAGAGAAAGAGTAATCAAAATTAAGTCAATGTATATTTGTTTATTAGATCTGACTTCAAATTTCAAGGGAACCTTCAGGAAAACCTTCAGGACAACACTCTGGGGATACTGCCAGTGAAAGTTAACTTCTCTGAGGTTGGGAGCCCTACAATGTTTGCCTGGCATGCTTGCATTTTGTAAATTTCCACACTCCCTTTCTACCAGGCATACATTAGAGATCTGGTAGATATTCCCTTGTGGAAGAATTAACATGATGGATGTGAAAAGCACTCTTACCTCCTGATGTTTCTGGAACCAGAAATGAATAGTGTGATTCTGTAAAGACAGGACTGAAATCGTTGTCCGGAGTAATCTCCACAATGATGGTCACAGTCACTTTAAAATTGAGCAGAGAACAAATGTGTGGTGGTTATTATGTTCTACAGACAAGCTAAATATACAGAGGATTGTGAAATGATACTAAGATTTTCACTTTTCCCCATAGGATCCCTGCACCCACATATAAGGTGATTTAGTTAAAAACATACAAAGTATCACATTTCATATTTTATTTTATATAATAAGGACAGGTATGCATCAATGTATTTAATATATAAATGTGTAGTTAGATGCCTTATATAACAGAATTTTTGTACATTGATGGATATAATTTCCTATATTAGATTTTATATAACAGAATTTATATATATATTTATGGATATAATTTCCTCCATCAGAGTTTATATAACAGAATTTTTGTACATTTATGGATATAATTTCCTCCATTAGAGTGTGCTGGGGATCACTGATAACCTGCATGTTATTCTATTTCTTTTCTTTTTTGTTTTGTTTTGTCTGAGACTAGGACTCAAACATGGAGCCATGCCCCCGGCCCTCTGCATTACATTCTATATTCTGCCTCTCATAACTCAGAACACCCATACTCAGTGCTTGGCTTTACAAATTCTCTCGATCTTAAACTAGTTAAATATCTCAGAGGCACACTTTCCTCATCAAAGATCAGTTTCCATCTCCTTCATCACAGTGAAGACGGGAGGTCAAAGAAAGAGTCACAAGAAAAACTTTTAGTCTATAAAACGTTAAAGTGTTTCATTTTGTTCAATTCCACCAATTCTTCTTTTATACATTTTGTATTGTGAAAATACTGTACAGAGAGGTCACTTCCACCAATTCTTGTATATGGTAGAAAAGGAAATCTAAATTTCAAGCCAACAATCTAAACTAGCATACTAGAGAGTAGTCAGAAAGAAGGAATTTAATATTCAAACATAAAATCCAGTAACTTGCAAATGGACAAATTTTGAGTAAAAGTAAAATAATTAACATTTGCTAGTCAAGGCACTGACATGATCTTGGACTTCTCCCAAGACAAACAGGTTGACAGAACTAAGTTTAAAACAACACTAGAGGGGTGGGGATGTGGCTTAGTAGTAGAGTGTTTGCTTAGCCTGCATGAAACCCTGGGTTTAATTCCTTAGTACCACATAAACAGAAAAAGCCAGAAGTGGCATTGTGGTTCATGTGGTAGAGTGCTAGCTTTGGGCAAAAAAGAAGCTCAGGAACAGTACCCAAGCCCTGAGTTCAAGCCTCGGGACTGACAAAAACAAACAAAAAACACTAAAAAGTCACTGAGAGTCTATCGGACAAAGTTGTATTTGCTAATGTATCCAAAAATATCTAAGATGCAAGTATGTCAAGTACAAAATATCAAGCTAAATAAAGGAAAAATGACTCTTTGCCATATAAATGGCAAGACTTTTTGAATTTTTAGTATTCCATTATGTACTTTTGAATCTCCAGGTAGGCATTGCTCCCTACATTTTTTTTTATCAAGAATTCTATTGACATGTTACTTTGTAGAATTCATTTTCTGAAGAATGTTGTATATAACTGCTCCTAAAAATCTACTGAACACGTCAAATAATAAAATTTTATCTGGTATCCATAGTGTTTCTACTTCAGGGAACTGGGCATTCTTCATATTTTATTTGATATTTTTTATTATTATTATTATATGGCATCTAGAGCTTTTATCAGAAGCTCTAATGTGTCCAGGACCCCCCATGAAAGCTTAAAGAGTGCTATTCCTTGAAGACATGTGATTAATGTCAAAGCTTATATACTTCCATCAATAAATCCATTGATATGTTGCAAGAGTAGGTGACATTTATAGCTCTGCCATACCATGGTTTTTATTGCATCCATAAAAACTCAAAATTGTGCTAATTAGCTGGCCCATAAAAATAGACTGAACCACATGTGTACTATTCCAAGCACCTGAGCAGCTGTCATACATATGCTGGAATGTGAGAACCAGGAAAGACATGGAGTTATCACTGGGAGAGATTACTTTCCCCTTTCCTACTGAACAAAGGCTCAAATCTGGTAAGAGAAATATATTTTTGGATAGGTTAGTCCAACAGGATGAGTAGCTGCAAGAAAAAGCATCCATCCTAAAGGCAGCTGGGCTGGGTAATAGACTTCTGCATGAAACTCCACTCATACGTAACAGAAAAGACAATAAGCATATTTCCCAGAGTGCTGTTATGACTGCGCCCCTGTCTCTATATATCATTTTTCCATGTAGTTGAATCATTGAAGGCTACAAACCACCTTGTTAAACTTAACCTATCAGTTAACGCAGAAGGATTTAAAGAGTCCCAGGTGTGTTGATTAGAGTTCAGCAATCAAGTTCCCTTTGATTGCCAACATATACATGTCTGCCATAATTCTATCTTTCTACATCAATGAAAAACAGAGCTCTTGCTCATTACTCCCACACGCAACCTCAAAATCCTTCTCAACTCAATAATCGAGCAAAACTCTAGTGTTCTCACAAGAGAATAAATGCCAATATCACCCCCTTCTTGGCTTTCCATTACCAGACATCGACCTATAAACCTGTGTTTACTACTCAAATCCCCATGCCTTGAATATCTTTGTTTATTTTGTTTTTGTTGTTGTTGTTGGTGGTGGTGGTGGTGTGTGTGTGTGTGTGTGTGTGTGTGTGTGTGTGTGTGTGTGTATTGGGGCTTGAACTCAAGAGATTTTTGTTGTTTTTTTTTTACTCAAGACTGGTGCTCTTACCAAACCAACCCAGATGCCCCTCAGTAGTTGAATAGATCAAGAAAATGTGGTCTACATACACAATGGAATTCTATGCCTCCATCAGAAAGAATGACATTGCCCCATTTGTTAGGAAATGGAAAGGCTTGGAAAAAATTATACTAAGTGAAGTAAGCCAGACCCAAAGAAACATAGGTCCCATGGTTTCCCTTATTTGCAATATCTAGTATATGTCTGAGTCAAGTAGAAAAGGTCAGATAAGGTGATGTTAGGGAAATGAACCCTAAGATATGTATTCAAATGTTTTTTTTTCTTTCATGCGATTGTTTCTAACACATTTATAGGATTATTTCTATGTTGCTTTGTATGTCCCTCCCTCACGGTATAACCCCTGCTTTCACTGTATTTGATGTCGGTATAATTTGTGGAGGGGAAGGGGAAAAACAAATCATTTAAATTGCAACAATGGGATGTACAAGTTGTTATGTCAAAAACAAAGTTTACAATTTTGGTGTGGGGGGTGGGGGGTGTCCGGGGAGGATTGGGTGGGGGGGGGCGGGGGGGGAGGATGGGAAGGGATGGGAAGGGGAAACAAAGGAGGAGGCTACAATGCTTAATAAGAAATGTACTCATTATCTTGCCCATGTAATTGTAACCCCTCTGTACAGTATTTTCACAATAAAAAAAAATGTTTCAAAAAAAAAAAGACTGGTACTCTATGATTTCAGACACAACTCCACTTCTAGCTTTTTGGTGGTTAATTGGAGATTCTTATCTAATGGATTTTGCTGCTTGAGCTAGTGTCAAACTGTCATCCTCAGGTCTCAGCCTCCTGAGTAGCAAGGATTAGAGGTGTGCCCAGCTCCTCTTGAGTAGCTTTAAGGTCAAACACCTGCTGGGTCATTTATTACCATACCTTTAGATACAAGAGATATGATATAAAGACAGAATCTGATAATTGTGAGAATCTCTAGCTTTCAGAAAAATCTCACGAATTTATTCTTACAATGGTAATACGTTAAACACATAATGACCTGTTGGGATACATATGTGTTTACATTTGCAGAACAATATCCCACTTCCTAAACACTCTTCCTGGATCCACAAAACAAAATTCAAATGCATCCTAAAGAGTGGTTTACAATCAGCAAAACTGTTCAATGTTAAAGCCACAAATTGCGTGAATTCTAGTGTCATTCAACCTAGATGGAGTTAATCTTAATGTGCGAAAAGCCCATTTTATCACAGGGTGACCTGAAAAACTGGGATAGTGATGGGAAAACCAAGTAGAAGCGAGACGCAGCCAGTGTTCATCTGCATGAAGGGTGTGAGTTATCAAACGTGGCAAGTAGCTGATAGCTTGCTTTGATAACAGTTCTATCAATGTCATATAAAATAATTCAAAGAAATTATTTTTTGAAAGTATCCAATTACCAATGTTCTTGGACTCTGTTGTCCAATACTTAGCATTAATGGACATAAAATAGCAAGAAGGATTGAGCATAAGAAATGGGTTTAGTGCCAAGGATCTCTAACCATAACTGTATTTAATAATCTAATGTTATGTTGTTTAAGTCACTGCTATAAGGTAAAAAAGATCCACAGTTGATCCATCCAATCTATTCAGTTCTCCCAGTTCTTTCTCTCATTCTCTCCTTTCCTTTCTCTTCTATCTCTCCTTTCTTTCCCTCTCCTCCTTCCCCTTTCTTTTCTCCCCCCCCCCCCCCGTTCCTTTCTTTTCCTCTCTCTTGGAAGTACTATATTTTGGATACAGTATTCCACACCTCCTAGAAGTCATTCTACCATGGACCACGCCCCGCAAGTATCAACTTTCTCCATCATCCTTTTGCCTAACTTAATATTACAAAAATCTTTCCCAAGTACAATGGCGTTTTGAATTGTAATCTCTAATGTGGAAAATCTGCAGAATAGACACTTGATTTTCTTGAGAATGTTATCAAGTTACCTGTATGAGAGGGATGTAGGTCATCAAACACAGAAATCTTCATTTCATAGATGTGCCCAGCTGCAACCACCTCTGGATTTTCATAATCCAACTCTCTGGCAACCTTACAGAACAATATTTTTACACCAAAAAGAAAATTTTAATGAATATTTTTAAATAATAGATCATTCTAGAAAAGGTAAATGTGTGGCCATTGTTATTTTTTTCTAGAAATGGTATCAGAGTATGCCTGAGACTGACATAAGCTGATATACAAAATAAACATTTTGGCAGAACAAAGAACTTCTCCCATGTCTTTCCAGAATAGCTTGCTTTTGAACAAATAATCCTTGCTCTGTGGAGAAAAATATGGGTCAAAGCCTGTCTTCATTGCATATTAATTGTATTGCCCTTGGCAAAATATTTAAAAAGAGAAAATATTTTAAACAAACTTTGCAAGTGAAAAAATGATCAAAATGTAAGTTGCTCCTATTATAAACCACTCACCATTTCAGAAATATATAATAAGTATCTACTAGGTATCTGTTACTATTGAAAGTACTAGACAGATAGCAGTAAGAAGATCCACATCATAGATTTGAAGACAGTCTTAATTGGGCATGAATCCTAGTTAGCTTAAACCAGAATATGACAACCAAGATTCCAGGTATTGAGAAAGTCATTTTGTTTTAAGAGTTGGTATGTGACTCATTCACACACTTACTAAAGCATGCACGAAACATGACAGTAGGTCATCAGTATGAACCACTTAGAAACATGTGTACATCTTTCGGTCTCATAAGAAAAAACTGAACTGACACAACCCTGTTCGACAGTGGATATACGGCCTATGATGTCAGTCCTTGGTAGTCAGAACTAAGCCAGGGTAAGTATGCACACAAAGAAATGAATGAGAGGTAAGTGGTGGGTGGCTACTGAGTGGACATACAGAAAAGCCTCAATGTTCCTTAACATCATCTTGATAAATGTTTTCTCTTTATCTGAAGTCCACTAAAAAAAAAAAAAAGACAGTTTGGCCTTGCATATCAAAGTGAACATCAGCCCAGGGAAGCTCTTGGCTCCATGCCTAAACATGCAAAATCCACAACACCATATGCACAAACTGGGTTTGTAGCTTGGGGGCTTTGTCAGGAAAATTAGGACCAGAGAAAGAAAAAGGTCACGATTAGCTCCCTCTCAGCCATATTTTCTGGCTAAAGAAGAAAGGGAAGAAGAGTGGTACTTGGTGATATTTGGGTTAAGAATAATTAATGCCAAGCTATTAGAGAATGACACTTTGAAATAAAGGCCTATGGAGAATAAGAGTCAGAAGGAGAGATTTCTTGTAAGGCAGAACTACATGCTGGGAAAGAAAAAAGCATAGAGAGTTTAGAACACCAAGAGGGAGTATGGAAGAGGAGCTTCTGGGCCATGCCCAAGGCCAGGAGGGGATAACTATTGTCCCACAGACAGCTTTTCAGAGTTATCTCCAAGGAAATCAACTTGATTTTCAGCTTCTGATTTCCCTGGCTAAATAGGAAGCAAATTATCCTGTGCTCATTATGAAAAGGAGAAAATGATAGCAGGCAACAAGATAGTGAAGGACTTGCCCATATACCTTGCAGAGAGGCAACAGAGGAGCCCAGAATTCTCTGCTGTGTCAGCAGCTCCTTTTTCGGACTCTACTAGCCTCATTCCAACTGTGGCCAAGAAATGACTCCACCTCTCTGGGAAAGCAACCTAGAGTGACAGAAACCAGGGTCACTCACGCGGATGACATGTTCAGCCTTTGGTACTTGATCAAAGAGCTGTCCAGAGCCAATTGGGCCAGAGCTCGGTGCATAACGGATGAGGTTCGGAGGCTTGTCAAGGTCATGACACAAGAGCGTAGCAACTACTGTATCCTTTGCAATCACCTCCTTGCCCGTGTACCTGTTTCATCGTTGAAGAAGAAAAAATCAATGGAGATAAGCATTCTTTTTCAGTGTAAGGCTTTTCCCCTAAACCTCCACTTATGTGGATTACACCTGGGTGTGATGTCCTAATTCTACTGGGACAGACAGATCAGCTCAGGTGCATCTGCAGGGCATCCATTTTCCATCGTCCCACAGATTTGGGAAGATCTGCTTCCTTGTCTGGGAGTGCTCCTCTCTGTACTTGGCTGGGCACTCTGCTGGGATGGGAAGTTTAACCAAGGCCACACTTCAGTGGAGAAGACCTGAGTGGAAATTGAAGGGTTCTCTGGTATTGTTGCAACCTGCACCATCAGGATGTTGTGGGAAGGAGGGACAAATCCATACCATTCTTTAGTCACAGTGGGCTTGTTTTCACTTCCGTATGCCCACCCATCTCTTCATAGGAACCTTACTACCCTGTATGTTCACTTCAGCTTCTAAATCCTACTTGCTCTTCAAAACACTAGCCTAGGTCTCATCCTTCAGGAAACTCCCCAATCCCATGTGATCTGCTCTTAACAACTAAAGCACAGCACCAGTATTTAATTCCCATTGTATGTGTTTAATTAACCAGTATTTAATTCCCATTGTATGTATTGCTTCCTGGGTTTTCACCTTATCATCCTGACAATACACAATCTCCTTAGAGCAATTGAACATAACATATTCATCCCCTTACCTCCAGAGACTATAACCAAGGGCAGAATGTGGTTGGTGTTAAATAGATACAATCCTACTTGGGGAATAAGGGGGGAAGTAGAAGGAAAAAGAAGAGAAGGAAAAGAAGAAAGAAACATTTGCTAAGCCTGTGCTAGTTCTGGTAACTAAACAAATTCCAAGCACAGATTATATATATATTCAATCCTTCTAACAATGCTATGAGGTATGTACAGTTATCATCCCATTTGAAAAGAAGTCTTGGGAACACAAACAAGACCACACTGGGGATAATTAGCAAGGCTATATTTTACTTTCCACTACATAATCAGTAATAATACTTAGGAAACAGAAGGACAGCTGTCTATATATGAACTGACCAGAGAGGAAAAACACAAGTGAAAGAGCTGGACATGGTGTTGAACACCTATAATCCCAGCTTTTCTGGTGATAGAGACCAGAAATATCATGGTTTGAGGCAGTCAGGACAAAAACATTAGTGAAAACGCCTGTCTCATGCATTAAACCAGCATGGTAGCACACATCTGGCATCTCATTTATGCAGAGTAAGAGGGTCATGGTTTAAGCCAGCCAAGGCAAGAAATATGAGACCCTATCTGAAAAATGCCTAAAGCAAAAATGCTGAACATGCCTTAAGTTCAGGGTGATGTCTCACCAAGTATGAGTCTCTACATTCAAAACTCAAACCTCAATTCTGGCCAATAAAGTGATAGATTTGTATGTTTAGCAACTGAGCTTCAAATAATAAAAATAAACACAATGAAAGTAATGCAAACCAATCATCCCTCATCAAAATGCTAAACCCCCTTCATTTTGGTACAAAAGTCCAACCTGGAATATTTTAAATCAACCTTTTGCCTGAACTGGCAAATTTTTATTTTATATACTTAGAATAAGTAATCACCGCAGATTTAAATATAGGTTGTTACTCATCTCCCATCAAGAAAGTTGTACGCTTGACAGACATTAAGAAGGTAATACATCCTATTACCTTCTTAAAATAAGCAACAGCATCTTTGTCCTGAAGTGTTTGTATGGGCCAGGATGTCAGGTAATAAATGATAGAACTGTATTAAACAATATATACCCTATGCTCAGAATGTCACATAGAGTGCCCCATTTGTTCTTCACAACCATCCTCTAGAGTAAGTAGTATTGTTGTACCATCTTATACAGAAACAATGAAGGTCAAAGAGCTTTAGTGAATGACCCAAATTCACACAGCTGTTAAGTAACAGAACCAGAATTCCACTCAAGCCAGGATTATAACTCAAAATCTTAAGCTTGTTCTACTAACTGTCAGATCTTGGAAACCCAGCTGTCAGTCATGAACTGGCCCATCAGGCTGTATTGTAGCTAAAGACCATAATTAAGGAGGCTAACCTTTGCTAAACAAATCCCTATACTTTAACTAAGCTTCAATCAGCTGAGAAACCTTTTGTCCAATTGTGCTAAATAAATGTGGCAATACATCCCTCTCTTGAAACCCTGAATTCTTGTCCCTGACCATCTGTCTTGGCTCACCTAATCAGATATTGATCACAGACAGGCGAGTTGTCATTAATGCCATTAATGTAAGCAGTCACTGGAATGGCTGCACACCTCCGGTCACGGTCACAAGCCTTAATGGAGAAGGCCTGAACACTTGCAAACCCAGCTGTCTCCACGTCCAGACGGGCGGCAGTCACCACATTCCCACACTCTGTAACAAAATAGTACATCCTGCTTTAAGTGGCCCAACCTGTCATTATCAAAATTGGTTTATTACACACATAGCTGCAGAACAGACCCCATGCAAATTATACCTGATCCATTGGAATTAAGAAGATGATTCACAGTACAAGATGGTATTCAATTATTTATGCCCCCAAACACACTTTTTTTTGGTATGAGTGTGTGTGTGTGTGTGTGTGTGTGTGTGTGTGTGTGTGTGTGTGTGTGTGTGTATCCTGGCATTTGAACTCATAGCCTAGTGTGCTGTCCCTTGGCTTGTTTGCTCAAGGGTAGTGCTATACTACCTAAACTCCACTTGCAGTTTTTTGGTGGTTAATTAGAGATAAGTGTCTCTTGGACTTTCATGCCCAGGCTGTCTTCAAACTGTGATCCTCAGATCTCAGCCTCCTGAGTAGCTAGGATTGCAGGCGATGGGCCTAAATTCTTAATCATAGAATCCTGATTCATTTCACCAAGTAGCACACCATTGCTCAACAGAACTTTCTGTAACAAAACATACTGTAATTATGTATTGTTCATCATGATAGCTAGTAAGCATATGTTTTTACTGAGCATTAAACAATGTAGCAGGTGTGATCAAGAGGAGGGTTGATATCCAAGGTGGTCCCTGGCAAAAGTTACCTGGGCCATATCTCAAAACCAAGCATAGTGAAGTGCACTTGTAATCTCAACTGCTCAGGAAGGAGAGTGGGAGGATAGAAATCTAAGACCCACCAAGATAAAGTTAGTGGAGATTCTATCTTAAAAAAGTAAAAGACTGAGGGTGTGGTTCAAGTGACAGAGTGCTCATCTTGCAAATGTTTAGCCCTGAGTTCAATCTTTGTACTATCATCCCTCCACTTCAAAACAAAAACAAAAACAGGTGGGGGGTGGGGGTAGGGACAAGTTGAGGATGTAGGGAAGGAAGGGATGGTATGGGGAAAACAAAGGAGGAGGCACAATGCTCGATAGGAAATGTACTCATTACCCTACTCATGTAACTGTAACCCCTCTGTACAGTATTTTTACAATAAAAATATATATGGAAAAAATGCCCTATTCCCAAAATAAATTTGCATCTCATTGTTCTTCTCAAAAAAAAACCACAAAAACACAAAACACAAAGATTCTAGCTGCTCTGTGGAGAAGAGAAAAAGCTGAAGCAGGGGTAAGAGATTGGTATTGTGGGGGAGCAACTGTCTAGCTTGGGGCTCTTCCAGAAGCAGAGCCTGGAAGAGTACAAGTAGTTTATTTGGGAAATGATCCAGGACACTGGGGCACTGTGGAAGAGAGACAGGAAAAAGAAACTCCCTAGAAAATGTGCACCAGCAAGCTAGTCCCCACGATCAGCCTCTAGAGCCTGGCATGACTGGGGAACCCTGGGAGCTGGCATAGGACACACACTCAAAATTGTAAAATTGTTCCATGCCTAGAGCAAAGAGCAGGAAAGTTTCTACACCATCTATCTCTGGACGGTAGAATTTCTCCAACCATCCTAACCTACTGTGAGAGGAAGGAGGGCCCTGTTCATCCCTCAAGCAAGGAGCCACAGCCCATTGGATGAAGAATAAATGATTGACTCTAGGCAGTCCAATCAGATTCTCCTTCACAAAAAATCAGGACCTTAAGCAAGAAGAAGAGTTGACTTAGGTTGAAGACATGCTATAAGGTTGTGTATGGTGGGAACAAAGACTGCCACTTTATAGTAACCACAAAGAGCCATATGATCACTCAGGAGGGAATAGAGAATTAGGTCTTGGATGGGGTTATTATGTAGACATGAGGAAGAATCAACAATGTGCTTCTTGTTGGGTTTCTGGAAATAAAAAAGAAACTACGTGTGTGGATATTTGCATAGTAACACAGGATTACAAGCCACCTCTATAAAGCAGGTTTGTAGGGACAACTCTCAACATACCTTTATCAACTGCAAAGTACTCATTCCATGGATCTAGTTCAAAGCTTACATCTCCCAGGTCATCTTCATCAGAAGCCTGGCATATTCCAATAGTTTTCCCAACTGGGATTTCTTCTTCCAGTGTGACATTGGCTTTATTGTGCAGAGTGGAGTTCAAAGAAGTAACACTCAAGATGCCATTTTCAATATTGAATAAACTTGTATCAAAACAAAAGATTATTAGAATATTATTATTTGCTTGGTGCCTTTTCTATTCTTTATGAAGGAATATACAGACAAGGATAGTATGATTAAAATAGAAACCATGCTTAGGGTATTAGTAGCTAACCCCTGTGTTGATCACTTACCTACAGTTCAAACAAAACTATAAGTGCTTTTCATGTGAACTTGTCCCTTCCTCAGTCTTTGGAAGCAGGAACCATTTTATCCCATTTTACAGATGTGGAAACTGAGGATTTGAGACTAACTTTTGGATAAGTATGAAGTGGCTGAAAGAAGATTAGACCTCAAGCCTGTTTTGCTCCAGAGGCTGTATACTTAATCATGTTTTAAAATGAGTCAGTTTCATAGAATTTCTGATCCTTTGTGTACCTTATAGTCTCCCTCGTAATAATAATGAAAGATAAGCTGTCAACTCAGACATGAAGAATATACTTCATTAATTACACCTTGTTCAATAGCAATTTCAAAACATTTTATAATTTAAAACTATTTTGCTTTTTTATCGTTGTGCTGGTTTTGAGGCTTGAACTCAGAGCCTCATGCTCTTGGTTGGCTTTTTCTGCTCATAGCTAGTGCTCTACTGCATGAGCTATCTCTCCACTTCCGGCTTTTTGGTGGTTAATTGAAGATGGAGTCTTGAAGATTTGTTTACTTCAGATTTGTTTAACCCCTAATCCTCAGCTTCCTGAATAGTAGAATTATAGGGGTACACCACTACTGCCTGGGCTATTTTCTTTTTTTTTTAAGAATTTTGGGCTGGGAAGGTAGCTCAGTGGTATAGTGCTGGCCTTGCATCAGGCTATGGGTTCAATTCTTCAGCACCACATAAGCAGAAAAAGCCTGAAGTGGCACTGTGGCTCAAGTGGTAGAGCACTAGACTTGAGCTGAAGAGCTGAGGGACAGCGCTCAGGCCCAGAGTTCAGGCCCCATGACTGGCAAAAAGAAGAAGGAGGAGGGGGAGGGGGAGGGGGAGGAAGAGGAGGGGGAGAAAGATTTTTCTATCTAGGTGCCTGTGGCACACATCTGTAATTCTAGCTCCTCAAGAGGCTGAGAACTAGCCAGGCCCTGGTGGCTCACACCTGCAATCTTAGCTACTGAAGAGGCTGAGATCTGAGGATCATGGTTCAAAGCCAGCCCAGCCAGGAAAGTCCACGAGACTCTTATCTCCAGTTAAACACCAGAAAATCAGAAGTGGCACTGTGGCTCAAGTGGTAGAGCACTAGTCTTGATCTGAAGAGCTTCTGGGACAGGGCCAAAGCCCGTAGTTCAAGCCCCATAACGGACAAAAAAAAAAAAAAAAAAGAGGCTGAGACTCTTATCTTTACCAAAAAGCCAAACTTGAGCAAAAACCTAAGGCACAGTGAGTGAATAGACTTGGAGTTCAAGCCCCAGTTCTGACATACACATATTCAAACAGACACACACACACACACACACACACACACACACACACACACACACACACACACACACACACACGTACACGTATATTCACAAAAACTTTTTTTAGGACTCTTACATCTTAAACGGTTGTTTACCCTTTGCTTGTTTTCCTTCTCCACATTAAAAAAAAAAAGGCATTTTTAAGGTCAAGTTAAAGTATATTTTATGTTTTATTGCCTTACCTGCAAGTAAGAGTAGGGTCCTTATTATTGACATTGATGAGGAAAATCTTTAGATTTCCGGAAGTAGACAGTCCTCCTGGATCAGCCACTTTAATGACCAATGAAAAGCTAAAGGCACAGCCACAAGGAAAACAGCTCAGATTTTATAGTAACTAAATGGCTTCCAAAGAAACGGAATCTATAAGATTTAACTCGTCAATTTCAGCAATTGATTTATCTGGTTCAAGTGCCAGTCAGCTCAGTTATTATAGCAGTTGGAAGTGGCTTACACTTTGTTAAGAAACAAATTAGTTAAACTGATGAAAGAGCAGGCAAGAACTTAGCAAAGTATCTATTAATCCCTATGAATGGCACCAAAAACAAACCCCTCAGGGAATTCTTTTTGCATGGTGGAGCAGAGCTTGTAGCTGTGGAGCCTGTAGTGGGGTTCCTACCTCTTCAAACATTCACCTTGTTTTTTAATATTGAAAACTGTTAAGTTCAAAAGAAGCATTTAAAAAACACTTCAAAGTAACTTAATAAGAAGACGGTTCAATGGTTAACACATTTTGATTTTAGTAGAGATGTTCAGGGATTTAAAGAATGGAGAGATGAAAAAAATAAAAGCTTCCATAATCTGGAACCCTTTCCTCTTGGCCAGGTATGCCAATTTGCTTGCATTATACAAACTTGAACTCTGCAAATCCCGTATTCAATCCAGGAAACTCCTCAATCCTGTGTTCATTGAAAGAGTTGCTCACCCCTTGAGCAAGAAATATTATTGTACTTTAACTTCAATAAACTAATCATTGGTGTCAAAATTAATGTTTTTCTCCCTTACACCAAAAAATGAAATCAATTCTCTCTTTTCTTCTTACTTTATAATTTTTCCTACAAATTGATATTTACAAGACAATTTTTTGTGTCGGTGTGGGACTTGAACTCAGAGCCTGGATACCATCCTAAAGCAATTTTTGCTCAAGGCTAGCACGCTACCTCTTTGAGACACAGCACCACTTCCAGTTTTCTGGTGGTTCACGGAAGATAAGAGTCTCATAGACTTTCCTGCCCAGGCTGGCATCAAACTGTGATTCTCAGATCTCAGCCTCCTGAGTAGCTAGGATTACAGGCCTGAGCTACTTACTCCCAGTAACACATCCATGTTTCTGCACTGGAAGGTGCATTCACAATGTGAAGGCATCTAGTTCCAGCCCCAAGCTTCCACTTCCCCTGGAGCTTTAGTACTAAGGATGCTCCTTTACTGTTTGTTTTGTTGTTGCTGCTGATGCTGTTACTTCACTTTTGTGATGGTGGTAGTAGGGATTGAAATCGGGGCCTTATGTTTACTGAGCAAGTGTGCTTTAGCAATTTTAAGCCAGTCCTTTTTAGTTTGTTTTTAGATAGGGTCTCTTCCTTTTTGCTGTCCTTTAGCCTACTTCTACTTCCCAAGTAGCTGGAATTATAGGTATGCACCACCACATCCAGACCTTAGGATGCTAACTCCCAGAACATATTCCACTCTCAACTTTTACAACAAGGATGAGATGCAGGAGCAATTTTGTTATGTCTGAAATGTCCATTTCTTTTCCTGTGAAGTACTTCAATGCAAAACATATAATTGAAAATGGTGGTCATAAAATCATTTTAAAACAAAAAAAAATAGTAACTTGAACTAGTGGCTATCCAGTTGGCAGACATAGAGGAAGTGAAGAGAAAACATCACTTAGGTTTGTTTGCATAATGAATGAGCTCTGTGTTACATACAGAGAAGCCCCTGACCCATGCCCAGCATGCTGCAAACCCCAACACTCAAACAATCTGCACTATGGTTGAAGGCAGGTGACCCAGAGATGCCCATATAGCCACAGTCAGTACCAAAACCAGCAAGGGTGCAATTACAAGTTAAGTGCTGATTTTATATCTAAGCCAGTCATTTGAAGGGATCCTCACTTGCGGAGCACAAGTCAAGGCTGGCTGGGAGGAATATTCTCAGAATGGAACAATGGAGAGAGGACCTGCATTTCCCATGCTGGATTTACCTTCTCATTTCACTCTCAAAATCAAAAACTGTGGCTGTGGAGATCATTCCAATGCTGTCGATTGTGAAGCCAGAGTCCTTCGGGGAAATGAAGAACTGTTGATTGGACAGTAAACAGAAAGAAAAATATTGCAGAGACATGACCTGTTCCCTGGCAAGATTTCTCCAAGTACCACGCCTGAAATCTTTCCGTGTGACTCACCTGCCACCCCCAAACCATGTTGGCTGATGATGAAAATGACATTATGATAATGATGATGATGATGATGATGGTGAAACTATCTTCCATTCTACCTATGCCAAGCTACATAACCTGCTCTTAAACATTAAGAATAAATTTTCCTGCCGCCAAGGGCTAGGGCTCATGCCTATGATAAAAAAATTTTCCTGCCAGGACTCATGCCTCAGCATGAGGCTGAGATCTGAGGATCACAGTTCAAAGCCAGTCCAGGCAGGAAAGTTTGCAAAACTCTTTATCTCCAATTAACCACCAGAAGAAAAAAAAAAAAAGAAAGCTGGAAGTGGAGCTGTGACTCAGCTAGTCAAGTGCTGCCTTTGAGCCAAAAAGATAAAGGACGGCACTCAGATCCCAAGTTCAAGTCCCAGGACTAGAACAAAAGAAAAGCAGAATAAAATTTTCTAATCTCTTATATTCAGTTATTTATCTGATCCTTTCACTATACTCCTCCCAGAGCTAAAAGCAAAGGAGAAGAAGTTACATTTTGAGAAACTTGTTGACTGTTGAAAGACAACTGAGGGTTTATTCGTTTGCTATGATGGTGAGAATGGACTCTTTTGGAGCTGGGGAGAAGGTGATCAAGCAACTCTACAAAGGAAAAACGTCAACTACTGCTCATCTGATTTTCTATACATGGGTATCAACAAAATTTTAATAAGGCATATTCTTTATTTTCTATTTTCTCTATTTTCATAGATAGATAGATAATAGATAGACAGATAGATGAGAGAGAAAGAGATAGTACTGGACTCTGAACTCAGAGTCTCTATGTGTTAGGCAATTGCTCTATCACTTGAATCAGACTTTCAGATATTTTTACTTGATATTTTTTCTAATAAAATCTTGTATTTTTTTAAACCCAGACTAGCCTTGGACTACTTTCCTTTTTCCTGTGCCTCCTGTATAGCTAGAATTGTAGTCATATCATGCCAGATCCAGATTTATTAGCTGAGATGGGAGTTTTACTAGCTTTTTGCATGAGCTAGCATGGAATCCTGATACTCTCCAATCTCTGCCTTCTGATTATCTGGGATTACAAGAATGAGCCACTATGCCAGGTGCCAGTTGTTTTTTTAATGTCTTACTGACTTTTGATCTAATCTAACTTTTAGGTATTCTGTTAAGTGCTTCATATGTGTTGTTTTTTTTTTAATTTTCCAGTTCTATGGAACTGATACCATCCCATTTCACAGATAAGAACAGTGAAGCTTACAATATCCAAGTGCCTACCCCACCTATCTGAGCTCTGAGGGTTTTTTTATTTTGTTAATCACTTTACATATTGCTTTTCTGTTCTCCACACACAGCATCCCTGAGGCAAAGTTCTTGCCAAACAAGGCAGATGAAGTCAGGATTTTCCAGGGCAGATGAGATCAAATGATTAGAAAAGGCCAGGGTAACAAATCCAGGAGATGATTAATATCAAGAGTTAATTACACTGAGTGTGACAGACTTAATAACTGTGTACACCCAGGGACAATTTAACAGAGAAGATTATTAAACACAGAAGGACTACAAAGCAACCTAAAAATCATTTGGAGAAATTAGTGACCTTTAAGTGTATTGATTTTCTGATGAATCATACCATTCTGATTAATTTTAATTCATACCTTCCCATTCTTTCTACCCAGACAAGTGCGGTGGAATTGATTTCTGTTATATCGATCTGTAGAGCAATGTGCAAATACATCACATTCTTGGACATGAGAATAATGATGACCACGGCAGGGAGGGGGTAGGATGGAGGATGACTGGTAGGTAATTAAATTACCCTAGAGTGCACACAAGCACAAGGCCTGGCTACATACAGGTAGATCTGATTGTTTGAAAAAGAAACCCACATTTGTATTTGCAGCCATTCAAAATTTGCAGTTTCAAATTCAATGCCAACATTACATAGTTATGAGCAATTATTCCAGAATCATGTATGTATTAGAGGGCTACATTTTGTGAGGTTTGTTTTTATTTCCAGAAAATGAAGCACTATCGTTAAGAAAATGATAGCACTGCTGTGAATTACTCTTCCCAATATTTAGGGGAGGTTTGGAAATGGTGGTTGCTAGGCAGCCGGGGCCATTGCTAGAAAAGCCGCCTCCATGAAGGATTCCCCGCACAAGACAGCCATTGAGGGAAGAGATTGCAACTTTTTGGGCCAGGTAAGTTAGATTCACTGCCGTGGCACCTGTCCTCGTCTCCATTTTGTCGCCAGTGTCACCACCAAGGTTAGTGAAGAACTGTTTCAGCCATAATCGTATCTACAGCAGCCCACGCCCAGGTTCCCAAGCGTGAGGGCAGATTGCAGCGGAACGTGACATTCTGGATGGATTTAGCCTCACAATCCACTGTATTCCCATCTCTGAAAAGGCTTGCTCATGACTATTTGCTCTCAAGAGTATCTGGAGAATTGGAAATGTCAGAACCCAACTTCCGGCCAAACACAGGAGGGGAGTTAGTACCTCGCAAGCTTGAAGCTTCAGGAGCAAAGCTCTAGGAACCACAGCTAGGCCTCAGTGCAAAGACAAGGGAGTTTGCCACCCGTTATTCTGTTTGTGTGCTCAGCTTTTTTCTCCAGTGAGCTCCCTCAACCTTCTAGATGATGCTGTGAGATGGGTTCTTGTCTTAGTGAACCTAACAGGTGAGGAAATGAAGGCCAAAGGTGAGAAAAGCTACACAAGAACATCTGATTAGCAAGAAGGTAAGGTGAGACTCAGACCCAGGAATTCTGATAGCAAATCCATTCCATACTCGTGCTGGTCTCACTGAAGATGGTTTTCCCAGCCGAAAAGCAGCATTTCTTTTTTTGGAAAAAATAAATTAGGTAATTAATTCATTATGTTGGCACTGGAGCTTGAACTCGGGGTCTGGGTATTGTCTTTTAGCTTTTGTGCTCAAGGATAGCATTCTACCACTTAAGTGACAGCTTGTTGGTGGTTACTTTGGACATCAGAATCTCATAGACTTTCCTGCCTGGGCTGGCTTTGAACAATGATCTTCAGATCTCAGCCTGTTAAGTAGCAAGGATTAAGGCCTGAGCCATTAGCACTCAGATTGTCTTTTTAGTTTTAAAACATGGTAACTAAGCTTAATTTTTTTTAAGTTTTTGGTCAGCACCGAAGAGTCTAGTTGGGTAAAGACAGAGTTGTAGAGCAATTCCATGTTACTTTTTATGCAGGAAGAGAAGTGAGAGAAGCAAGGGGCAGTGGACGGGGAAGAAAAGAGATGGGGGCAGGAGGAAGGCAAAAGGAAACATATGAAATGGAGCCCTGAGATGGTCACACCTGAAAGTCCATCAAAGAAAGGTGAACAAGAAAAACAAAAAAGAATAGTCAAAAGGGAAGGAATAAAACTAAGACTCTTGATTATTACAAAATAATGTTAACATTAAGCAGGACATAGTGTCTCATGCCTGTAATCCTACCTACTCCAGAGGTTGGCATCAGCAGGATCAATGTGAGGTGCCAGCCATGCCAAAGTATAAATAGGTAGATCACAGTTCAAGCTATCCTGGGTAAAAACTAAGGCCCTATTTAAAAGATAATGAAGCGAAATGGCTGGAGGTATGGTTCAAGTGGCTGAGCACTTGACCACCTAGCCAGTGCAAGGCCTTAAGTTAGAACTCAGGAGTGTTATATAGCAGTAATAATTCTAGTCTTAGCTAACGTTTATAGAATATTTTCTTCCAAGTATTATTCCAAACACTTTACTTTTTTTACTTGATTTAATCCCCATGACAATCCTAAGGTATACCCTAGCAATTGCTTTCTCATAAAGACTGCGATACAAAGAGGTCATGAGACTTACCCAGATTCACAAAACTAGACTGTGGCAAAGCCAAAATTTAGGCTATTTAACTTTAGAAGTCCTATTATGTTCATATATTTTATTTACCATGGCTAATTTGTTCATCTGATTCAGGGAACTATTTCCTTACAGAAAATTAACAGAATATATGATATGGGCTAAGTATTTTTAATGGTATAGTATCCTGTAATATTTAAAAAGCAAAAGTATTGCCTAGTCACTATTTATCTATAAAATGTTTTATTAGAGAGAAACATGTATATGAAAATAGTTTCAAGTTGAAAAGCAGATATAAACCAAGCACCAGTGGTTCACACATGTACACATAGCTGTTTAGGAGGCTGAAGTCTAGAGATGGCACATCAAAGCTAGCCCAGGTCAAAAAGATCTGTGAAGCTCTTATCTCCAATTAGCCACCAAAAAGCCAGAAGTGGAGCTGTGGCTCCACTGGTACAGGGTCAGCCTTGAGCCAAAAAGCCACCGAAAGCAAGAGGCCATAAATTCAAGCCTCAGGACTTGACATTTCTTTTCGACAGTCCTGGGGCTTGAACTTGGCCTGGGCACTGTCCCTGAATGGCTTTGTGCTCAAGACTAACACTCTACCACTTTGAGCCACAGGACTACTTCCAGCTTTTTCTGCATAGTTTATTGGAGATAAGAGTCTCAGAGGCATTTCTGCCCAGGCTGGCTCCTAACTTTAATCTTGATGGTCCAGCTTCTTGAGTTGCTAGGAATACAAGTATGAGCCATTGACACCTGGCTTAAAAATACTTTTAATAAAAATAAACCTCAGATATAATTGAAAACTAAACCTTCATTGTGTTAGTGTGGCCTTGCATCTCTCCCTGGGCCTATGTGAAAAGTAGAAACACTTTATCTTGAGCATTTTCAACAGCATAGAAACCATGGGTCTTAGTTTACCCTTGAAGATTCCAGGCTTCATACATTATTTTGCTACCCTCTAAATACTACTCTCTTGCCTTCACTTTATAAGCAATCAAAATAGTTTTCCATTTACATCTTTATTAGACTATAAGAGCTCTCCTTCTTAGAGCTT